AAAAAAATAAAAATAGTTCTTGAAACAATTAAAAGTCTAGTTATTTACCCCTTAGCAAACACGCTGCTGGCTTCAGCACTTGTTCATAAAACTCTTGCTTAAGAAGGAAGCAAGAGCCTGTAATCATTTGAGTCCATTGAACCTCCCAAAAGCCCAGATCCCATCTCAGTTTTCCCCATCCACACTCCTGGGTTGCTTTAATTAAGCAAATAATGCTTTCAAGTCACTTTTGATTCTCTCTGGGAAGGAATATAAGCAACTACAATACCAGTTCTCTGTTCTGTCTTGTTCAGTGGTTTCAATGTGTCTTTCCCCTTCTCGAGTGCTTCATTCCAGCATTCTGCAGGAGGTGGGACACCCTGGACACCCCCTGTGCTGGGGCTGGCTCCCAGTGCCTGCACTAACTGCTGCTCCCGTTGACACCTGCAGTCAGAACCATCACCATTGTGTCACATTCACCTTCCACTGCTGACTCATGCATACCTCATAATCCTGATTTCCCTACCTTTGGGTAGTTTACATATGTCTGTGGTTCACGAGATGTCCTTTTTGCTTCTCCTACAGCACTCCTTGTGCATCCTCCTCATCTTCTGCACCTCAATGCAGAGTTGCGGGAACCAGCACAGCACCTACCATCCAAACTGGATTTGCCTTTCTCTCCACCTCAGCTAGTCTTCCTTCTGCACTAATTTCAGTTTATAACGTAGCTGACGTCTTTGAAGATGCTCAGGCATCAAGACATTGATGATTATTTAAGTTTAAATGGATAAATTTAAATGTTGGCATTCATAATCTTTCATAGTAAAGTGATGATATTGTTTAATCAAGAGGTCAAAATGAATTTAAAGTTGTCCCATTTTCTTCTCTTTGTCTCTCTTTAATAATTCAGCATAGAGCTCAGTAGGTAATATATTGTAAAAGATGGATAGAAAACTAGATATTCATGTGGAATATATTCTTCATGAAAGGTAGGTGAGAAATTAAGATTAAAAATGCTCCTGTCTTCAGCAGAAACAAGACTAATCTTTTCATTTTTAACTTCCCTTGTACTTATGAGACATCAGCTACAGACAGTAAAGGAAATTGCTGCATTCACTTAAAAGGAGCGTTAGCAAGTTCTGACAGCTTGTTAAAAGCTGTGACCAAAGGCAGGGTGATGCACATCGATCATCTGTGACAAGGACCTCATGGAGCTTGGCCTGGGCTTAACCTTCGTCATATCTCTGAGATGGGTCATGTGGCCCTCAGTGGGCCATCTCACATTAACAGGTACATGTTGTTTAAGCTACCCAAAGAATTTAAATGCTGGCCACTTATTAAAAATAAACACAATTATATTTCATGATTCTATGTCCTCCCACAGTTCAAGTCTGACTTCACATGAAACATGGATTTTTCAGCAGATACGGTCCAATTTCTTGCTAGATAATGCAGGTAAAGTACCCAAAGCAATGGAGTCAGTAGAAGATACAGTCTACAGCAGTGAAATCACAAGATCATATTCCATCCTTGGGATGCTATAGCATGAAACATGGCTTTGAACACTGAGAGATTTGGATTTCTAAGTATAGTTACCATCTGTGACTATAGCCCAAGCTTTATATTCCTAAAATATCATTTTCAAATGTGGGATATTGTGAAATATAAACCTCTAGAGATTGGCTGGACCAACCTCGGGCTGAAAGCAGGGCCTTAGATTAGGTTATCCAGGTCCATGTAAAGCCAAGTCTTGAATATTTGGGTTTGAACATGAAATAGTATAAGTAATACTAGAAGTGGAGTCGTCATTACTTTAGTGAAGTTACATGAAAAATTAGAAAAAAGACACTCCAAAGAGGCCATGGCTCAATTGGCCCTATAGGAGACAGCAAACCTGGCCCCAGTACCTGTACAGCAGAGAAGTATTTGGGTGGTCACTCCACTTCAGATCCTAACAAGGCAGCTACACATCCTGGAAATTACATTTATAGACTTCATATAGAAAAGTCTAACCTTAAAAGTTTGGGGTTTTTTTGGTTTTGGGTTTGTTTTAGTTTTTGTTGGGGTTTTTTTTGCCATGGTGATGTTATTACCAGTTGTATTTCTGCTGGCAGGAAGGTTTTGCCTACAGATGTAAATTAATATAAACACAAACTTTCTGGGTCACCAGAAATGCGATGGACAAAGCACTCTCCTCAGTTCCTTCATCTATAAGATAACTATGTTAAAGTATTTACACGGTGTCAAAAGTTGTTCGCTGCCTATTCTTTGATACAGTTTTTCCTTCTTTTTAAGCATTTAATTTCACAAACATTTCATTGCATCAACATATAGCAGACCAAAGCTTTAATATGAATGGCTTGGAGCTAAACGCTGGAGGAAAAAATATCTATTGATGGCCCATCCCTGGAGGCACTCAAGGCCAGGCTGGATGGGGCCCTAAGCAGCCTGTTTTAGTGGTTGACAACCCTGTCCACAGCAGTGGGCTTGGAATTGGGTGATCTTTAAGGTCCTTTCCAACACAAACCATTCTATGATTCTATGATCTAAAAGAACAGGGAAAATGTAATGAAATACAGGACTTTGCTGATGGGGTTGTTATTTTGCTGTGCTTGTAAAGCAGCATCTTGCAATATAGGTCTTGTCACATTGAGCTGTGTACACAGAAGTGCCATAGCAAGAAGAATGAAGGCAACAGTGTCCCATTATGGCTTTCTCTAGATATTTAAAACTAGTCCAGGAAAAAAAAAAATAAAATATATATATAAGGATATATGTATAACATATGTAGGACTATACCAGATTTGCACCAGAACAGAGTACTGTACCTAAGAGATCACTTCTACTTCTCTCCCTCACTTCACCCATTTTCAGAACTAAAGGGAACTGACTTTTTACATTTTCTCCCCGGTTAAAATCACACCAATTGCCTTTCATTTTAATGAGCAGTGCGGATGTCTCATGGATTTAACTAGGTTCCTTATGATTTGTCACATTTAACGGCTGACGGCTATGCCAGAGCTCATTACTTTGGGGATCCTGGTGAGACCGATTGGTGTTTTGAAGTATTATTCTGGCTGTTTGTACGAATTTCACACAGGAAAGTTGTACTAAGCTGATAAACACCTTCTTATATATTACAAAGGGTGTGATCAAGAGAAACATATATCTTTACGTTCTACATTATTGCTTACACAAAAGGTGGAAGCAGTTAAAAAGGTAACATTTCCCCTGTTTATTTACACCTATATTCTTGTGTATACAAATGGTGGAAATAATTTTTCAAAAAACCTCCAGTATTTCTCAGCTGGTTACCTCATTTATTTCCTCTTTTTTGGAAAACTGTGGAACCATTATCAGAGTCCTAGCTTACTTTCTAATTACTTCTAATAAAAGTGATTCTTTCGTGACCACCACTGTAATACCAAGCCCAGGGAAGACTTAATATTATTCTAATAATCATTTCTGTGGTGTATTACAGAGAGACCTTAGACAGTGTTGAAAAAAGCCTTGAAGAAGTAACACTTTCTACAGAAACATCAGGAGGACATTGTTATTTAAAATTTGGATGGTATGCAGTGAAGTCCAAAGCTGAAACTCTTAATTTGCTGGTGTCAGCCAGTGGAAGGTCCTTCCCAACCCTCACACCATAACATTTCTTCCTCTCTTTAACACTGGTTGGCATCTTCCCCTTCCCACTCCCTACTGTACCATCTCTCCTTCAACAATAGACAACCTGGATTACACTTATAAACTTTATAAACATAAAGAAATATTCGATCTCCAGTTTTCTTCAGCAGCCAGCCTGAGGGGTGCTTCACCCTGCAGACCCATGCGGCTTTCATTTAAGGGTCAGACTCTGGAATTACTGATACTGCTGGTTTCTGCGGGGAAAATTCTGCCTCTGCTGATAATTTTCTTAAATATGGAAATAACACCAATAATAAACACTGAATAAAGCAGTGCCTTCTCACTCTTTGTGCCTTGATGACTGCAAAGCAATCCCACTGGTTTTGGGCATAAGAAGGTGAGCACAGCAGTAACTGCAAGGTGCAAAGGGACAGTGCAGCCCAAGTTCTGTACCTTGTCCAGACCATGACACAGCATGCAGCTTCTCATCTATCTCTTTTTTTTTCCATTTTCACCCTGAGAAGATGAAGGTACAAATGAATCTTAGGGAGTAGCTTATGTTTATTGACCGTTAGATCAAAAGAGCCACGTAGGAACAGGGTAATTGCAATTAAACATAGCCCAAGGTTGCAGGATACATGGGGGGTGAGTTTTAACCTTAGTGCTTTTGCTAAAAACCAGACTCACTCATTGACATTCTTCTCATCCACATTCCCTTCCTGGAGAGTCAATAAACTCAGCTGTGGTTATTCAAGTGCACTGTAAAATAGCTGCTACAGCCCAGTGCAGCAGAAGCTCCACCACTCTGGGCATGAAGCAATCCCCACAGTAACTTTCCCTTCCCCTAGAGCAATGTTGCCAAGAAAATTTCACGTTTGCAAAATGCTTGGAGATCTTTGAAACAAATGTGTTAAAAGATTTGTAAACCATTTGTCTGGAGCCATTAGTTAGAAAGGCCTGGACTTATTTCTACAGCCTTCTAAATAAAAGCTGAAAATGATCATTTTTAATCACAAGGAGCACAAAACCAAGCTCAGCGCAGTCATCTCCTTCTTAATCTCACACCTTGAAATTCAGCCCTTATACAAAGAAAGACCTAATTATTTTCAAGAGCTAAGTGTTTGCATGTTGCTGGGAGACAAAAAAAATCAGTTATAAATGGTTAAAAATAGAGGTTTAATGCAGAAAACACAGAGTTTTCTCTGCATCACTAGCATGGCAAATATATTCATGGTAGTCCTGGAACTGAAAGCATTTGGGTTGTGCTCTGACTCATCCTACCCTTGCAGAAGCAAGGATTACTATTATCTGCTTACAGAAAATCATTGTGGTAGGTCTGTTCCAGCCAGAACCTCTGCTCCGCCAGACTGAGGTTTATGGAAATTACTTACCTGTCTCATCACTTGAATTAGGAAGTTGGAAAGAAAATAGAGTGTGATAGCTACCAGACTGCTTATTGCCATCTTGCTTTGTTGTTACTACGTTATTCAGTCCTCTGGGTATATCCACAAATGCTGGAAGTTCAGAGACAAAGACACTTTGCCAAGGGTATTTACGACCCAAAAAGCCTTCATTTGTTTTCTCCTTAATTACATCATTTTCTGTTAAGTCTGCACTCAAGTTTGATCTGAGTGGAGTCTTGTTTTCTCCTAGGAGCTTTGTTCGAAATATCTCCGCTACGGGCTCTCCATTAGCTATGCCATCTACTCCATCTGCTGTTAATCTAGATGAACTGCAATTTATATTGAAGGACAACGTTGACCTATGGATTTTTTGGCATTTAACTTGAGGTTGGCCAATGCACACATTGAGCCACCTGTCTAAATAGTAAATGGTATTTGGACACTGTTGAGAAACCTGAAGGTGGACACACGAGAGGAATGAAGGTGGTACTTTCTCTCTCCCATCACTGCTTTGAAGACGCACGCCGTACTCCTTGTTTCCAGGGTTAAAAAACTGCTTTCGTGGCTCTTCACCTAATTGTGAGCAAGATTCAGAAATCTTTAATGGAGAGGCATTTTGGTTTGTGTGGCCTGGCAGAGGCCAGTGATGGAGAGCAGCAAGGACTTTGCCCGAGGTAGGGAACAAAGCGTTGGGTTCTTGAGGAGCCCCAGCTCCACAGGTTGGGTCGCTGGAGCCCACAGCAACACGCCTGGCTGTAATAGTTATGGAGGCAAACCCTTTCTGCTGTCTTTGATGCTGTTTTTCCTCTGTGATGGGAGAGTCCGATGGAGATGTGGTGTCATCTAAAGATGCTTGGATTTCTATTTTGCTGGGAAGGACCATAAATGCTCTGTTAATGTTGACCGAACCATGGTTAGCCAAAGATTGCTTGGTGTGATAAGCACTGGGCTGAGGGATCATGGACCACGTAGGCAAAGAGGGCCAATTTTCTTTTGATTTGTTCTCATCAATCATCTGTGAAGTGACCATTGATGAAACCAATTTTGTATTTGGTGATGACAGAGATTCCTGCAAATGAAAAGATTCAAATTATCAACATAATCTATCATAATATGTGTAACTGTTTCTCATCTACCATCTATCACGACATAGTTTTGTTTGAGATTTCTTAACTTTTATTCATAATTTTATGCCATTTTAAAACACACTATTTAAATCAGCTCTGAATTGTTTGGGAGACTTAAATGAAAACCTTATCACTCTGGTGCAAAAAAATATTAAAATTAAAAATGTGTATTCTATATTATTATTTTCAATATTATTATTGAATTCTATATTATTATTATATATTATTATTATTTTCAATAGCTCATTGTCACAGTTTGATTTGTAGCTGTTATGTTTGTTCAAAAATGGACATGTCAAAGGCTGTTGCTGGTTTCAGACTTTAAACAGCTCTTTCCTCATGGTCTGCTGGAATTTATAATATATTTAAATTTATTATGGATCATTTAGCCTGAAGGTTCATGCCATCACATGCTGCAGTGGACATGCGGGCACCAGGGTCATGGCTGCTCTACAACCTCACCAGTTAGAACTATGGAAAAACTTCTCCATGATCCCTCTGACAAATGTGAGATAAATTCCTATAAGGATTCTGGGTACTATTTTGACTCATTAATTCCCTCTTGCTTATCATTACCTGGTGGCACCTATCAATGATGTAAAACCACATATGTCCAAAACTGATTGACAGTGGCCTAGATTCATTTTTCCAACCATGGCAGTAAACATCTATCTTGATAGACTGTACATCACTCGATATGACAAAGCAGATGCTTTTATGTTAAAGCTATCCAACAAAGAGTAAACCTGAGTTTAAAATCTCCTGCTATTATTATGCACACAGTTGGTCACATAAGTCATATGCAATAAAGCATCTGGCCTAATCTCATTGCTGCTGTAAACTGGTTGTTTCGATTGCTCCTGCCCTGTGTTCTTAGATCTCCCAATTCTAATAGAAAAAACAAAACCCCATTGAATAGGCATGCAAAAATTGAGGATTAGCTCCAGAATCAAAGTTCATCCAAGTTCATTCAGGGTTTAGGTGCCATTTGCTAGCTGTACTGCTCCTGCTTGTTATGAATTCATCTCAGTCGTATCTGGGTGTCTATCATCTGATAATCCATGCCAGTACTTGACAAGTATTTCACAAAACAATATTCTTGTTCCTCAAGGAAGACTACATCAGTGACAGATCTGTGACCTCTTGGGTGCCATGGTCAACCTTCTCAGGGCTTGGGTGCCAGAGATGAGACCTTGCACTGAAGCCCATGGGGGAAACCATTCCTGTACTCCTGTCTTCCATGCATGAAAACAACACAAAAATGGGCTCCTTTGTGGCTCTTGGGAAAGCTGATTTGGGAACCCAGACAGGTAGAGGTAGATCAAGAGTTTATTAATGAGTTGAAATGCCAAGTAAATTTTATCAACTGTTTAAACCAGCTGCCTGTGGTTTTGACAATTCAATAATTTCACAGTCCCAGGGAAAAGCATTTTCTTCCTTCTTTGTCTCTTCCATGCTTTGTAACCACCTTTGCCTCATATTTTCTTCACTGCATTTACTTCCACTTACAGGTTTAAGACCTTTGGCATGCCTTTCAAAACTTGAGATTTCTACCAGACACCAAAGAAGAACTTTATTTTGGATGCAGCTTTCATGCTCCAATAGTTAATTTGACATTTATTTCTTTTGTTAAGGGCTGCACAGATGGAGACATCCTGCAAGAGTCCAAAGACATGTTCAAAATGCTCCTGATTAGCTTCAAACTCATGCACCAATATTTTAAATTATTTGCTTTTCCTTTTTCTGCTTGAGTATATGTATTATTCCCTCCTCCCAATCTTTGGTAAAGAAATGGATCTTTAAGGTTTGACCATCTGATCCCATGCTCATTGAGAGCTTTCAAGCTTCACTGCATCTTGGGAAAAAAAAATATGCACTTACACAAAGTAATTGTGGTGAACTGAAAACCTCAGGCTTTAGCATGAGAACATCTGAGACAAAGTGTACTGATATTTGGGATACTATTTGGTTTAGTCTCCTGAGGTGTTTTTAACAATTTTTTTCCCCTAGAGAACATGCAGTTTTTTTCCTCCCTCACCAACAGCACACAGAATCACAGCATTTAGCCATCATTTTATTTGGCTTTTCTGCTGCCTAAGCTAAGCCTAGCTAAACAAAACCAAATCCAAATACACTGCTCAGCAATCAGCGATTGTTTTTTAAACCTGAGTGCATCTGCTGACTGCTATCTAAAGATAATTTATTTATTTTACCTTGGTAGAGCTTGATTTTCTCTCCGCAGCACTCTCCCGCTGAAGGCCTGTGCATGTCCTCTGACCATTAGTGCCCCATTGCTTTTGTGCTACTCCTGAAGAAAAAAAAAGAAAAGCAGAGAAAATAAAATTATTTTCAATGTCCTGGAGGAGGTGAGTTAGAAAATGTGGTTTTAAATGGACAGTAAGCAAGAGGGGAAGAGCTGCTGTAAATGATCTGATTGCCCTGGGGTCTGGTTATCGGAAGGATCCTATTTCTCCCTCTTCCCAGGAGAGGCACTTGAAACACCTCTGGGATCCTGTTGCAAAGATGTGTTTGTGGACAGTCTCACTCTGTGTTCAGGGCTGATCCAAAGCTTGAATATCTCTGCTTTTGATTTTCGCTCCGGGGAGATCTTAAAGCAGCCTCCCAGTACCTGAAGGGGCTACAAGAAAGCTGGGGAAGGACTTTTCATAAGGGCAGTTAATGACAAAACAAGGGGAAATGGCTTTAAGCTGAAAGAGGGGAGGTTTAGATTAGATATTAGGAAGAAATTCTTCACTGTGAGGGTGGTGAGACACTGGAACAGGTTGCCCAAGGAAGTTGTGGCTGCTCCTCCCTGGAAGTGTTGAAGGCCAGGCTGGATGAGGCTTTGAGCAACCTGGTCTAGTGGAAGGTGTCCCTGCTGATGGCAGGGGGGTTGGATCTGGATGAGCTTTAAGGTCCCTTCCAACCCAAACCATTCTATGATTCTATGATTCATGGCTTCAGGCATGAGTGTGGAGGAATGGGGGAAGATGGGAAATGTGGATTTTAACAAATGTCACTTTTGGGTAGTCTACAGAACCTGGGAGCAGAAGAATTAATCCACATTAATCAGTGGGATGCTATGAGTTTTCATTTCATTTGAACTAAGTCACCTTCACAATTAAAGAAATACAGAGAATTAAGTAAATTAAATTTTTAATCATAATTAAAGAAATTAAAATTAAAGAAATAAATTTTAAATCATAATCACAAATTCTGTTACATCATGACTTTTCTAGTTTAGTGATAACTATTATATCAGTTCATCAGTCTCTGCTTTTGTGATCATCTTTTGTTTTCTGTGAGCACTAGCTCATCTGCAGCTTTTTACACAGTGCCAATTTCCATATAACATGGATTCGGGGCTATTGCAAAGATGCATTATGTTTGCTGTCAGTAGTTTTGCCAGAAATTACATTACTTTCTATTTTGTAATAAGCATCCAAACTTAATTTTCAAAAATTCTCTATTTGGACTGAAACCTCTTGACATTATTGGCTGTTGCTTTTATAGCAACAAGTCATACCACTGGGAAGACCTTTTCTATTATTTTTCCTTCACTTAGGTAGCCTGCCACAGAAGTTGATAATTTTTTACTAGGCAGAATTTCAGTTTACGTGTACCATTATAGTAACAAAGGAATATGAATCAGCTCCACTTTAAGAAGTGTTCATTAACTCATATCTACCACGGTAGGCTACACGGCTTCATCTCCTTGGGTGCAGCTAAGAAAAGCAGGAAGGTATCAGGTCTATCCCCTGACAAGACATCTTGAGTCCCACGACAGAGCAGCAACCACAAAACACTGACAGGGTGTTTGATGAACCTTCTACTTTAGACATAGAATCATAGAATATTTTGGGTTGGAAAGGACCTTAAAGACATCCAGTTCCTCCCAAGCCTCATCCAACCTGGCCTTCAACACTTCCACAGAGGAGCAGCCACAGCTTCTCTGGGCAACCTGGGACACTGTCTCACCACCCTCACAGCAAAGAATTTCTTCCTCACATCTCATCTCCATCTCCCCTCTGCCACTTTCAAGCCATCACCCCTTGTTCTGTCACTCCCTGCCCTTGGCCAAAGTCCCTCCCCAGCCTTCCTGGAGCCCCTTCAGGTACTGGGAGGCCACTAGAAGGTCTCCCTGGAGCCTTCTCTTCTCCAGGCTGAACAGCCCCAACTCTTTCAGCCTGTCCTCACAGCAGAGCTGCTCCAGCCCTCGCATCATCCTCGTGGCCCTTCTCTGGACTTGTTCTAACAGGTCCATGTCTTTCTTGTGTTGGGGGCTCCAGAACCGGACGCAGTACTCCAGGTGGGGCATTACAAGAGAAGAGTACAGGGGGAGAATTAAAGTATACTCAATTATGCTTAAATACTTTACTGGTGCAGCTCCAAAATGCCAATACCACTGTGTATCTTCACAGTTGGCATTAAAAAAAAAAAAAAAAGAAAAAAAAAAAAGAAAAAAGAGGTTTGCTTTTGTCATTGAGCAACAGAAAGTCCTGAGCAACAGAGAAAACAGCTGGACTCATTAGCCACAGTATGGAAAAAAAGGAGAATCCAAAAAACAGCCGGAGCAGAGGGTCCTCTACACATTTTTTTTGGCAAAGAAATAATGCACAATTGCAATCAGTGAAAATGCAATTAACCTGATATAGCACTGGGTCGTGGTAACTGCTGGCACAAAAGCTGGGTGAGATGCCCTCAGAGCCTGCTCCTCACCCTGTTGTGGGGCACAGCGAGAAAGAGGTGCCGCACTTTCAGGGAAGGACAAAATCCACCCATATCCACAGGCAGTGGGGTAGGGGTAATTGCTGAGAGAGCCTTATGGAAAGGGTATATTCATTGTATCAGTACTCTGCTGAGTTACATGAGAATACCTTCACGATGTGGAGCTGCTACGTATGCTGTATTACTTACTTTTTAAAACAACTAAATAGGGAATAACTTGTAGAGAAGGATAAAGAAGAATTTCTTGGATTGAATTAAAGCAAAGACCTCAAAAAATCCAAAGGTTTGATAAAAAAACCACAGAATTACCAATATTTTCCTCAGATGCTTTAAAGTAAGGAAACTACAGTTGTCTCAGTTCAAGCTGGAAAGCTACAACAGGAGAACATCAACTTATGAATGTCAACCAGTGCACAGGGAAATCCAGAAGGCTGGCCAGAGATAAATCAGATCCAGACACAAATGTTTTGCCAGATGGCCTTCCATGAATTTCATTCCAATGTATTTTCAGCACAAGAGAAAGACTGAGTACTACAGGGTCAAACAAGAACAAGTTGTCAAAGTCCACACAGTAGATTACACATAATACGTAAGTTATTCTTATCAAAGTAACCTCCTGTGCTTAGTAATTATCTGTAGGTAGGAACTTCCAATTTCACACAGATCCCTTGGAACATATTAGTTAATTCTTGCTTGTTTGACTTAAAAAAGTAGCTGTTTCTTGGGCAGGAAACATAGGGGCAAGAAGAAGAGGAGGAAATATTTATTTTATTTGCTAAATCACCCTGAGAAGAGTTTTGCATTGCATTTTTTTACCATAACCTGTGCAATGACATTCTTGTATTACTATGGGAATCCTATTGTTGGAGAACACTCAAACTTTTGGCAAGTCATTTAATCTAGTTGCTGAAATAGATTAAATGGCATTGGTGGCAAAAGCTCTGGTATTTTTCATGATATTATTAAATCTATTCTTGGAAGCTTCGTATTTCTTAATTCATGTCAACAGAAAAAAAAACAAACCCCAAACAAACAAAAAACCCCAAACCATTAAAAAGAGCTCAAATCTGTGTTTGAAATGAAGACACTTCAGGGAGCACAAGGGTTTAGGTGAAATGTGTCACATACAGAGTTTTCATATGACTTCTCATTGCTGACAAAACATAACTGCACTGAAACTCTCGTTACACAATGAAATGCAAAGTTCAGTTTTTCCCCTGGTGTGAAAGCATGAAAGAAATGGCATTTCAAGTACTTTCCATCTCTGTGGGGAGTATGAGAAACTTATTTCTAAGCTGAAATCCCGAGGGTTTGTTTAACCTCCCCAGACCTTCCCTTCCCACCGTGACCCACCTCTCCAGCTTACAAACGGGAGATGCTTTGAGGAAAAGAGGAGAAGTTGCTGGCATATGAACTTTGTCCTATTACATCTTCACTCTTTTTATTTTTTCCCCTCACAAACACTGTTTGTTGAACCAAATGATATGCTCCTTGGCAAGGCATCTGGACATCCGGCTACAGACCAGGGTTTTCCTAATTACAGAGTGCAGCTGGAACCGATTCTCCCAGTCTCGAGTGCCTGGTTGTCTGCCTCGGGCCAACTGGCAGACGGCTCAGATAATGATTCAGAAAAGATGTACTTGTAAATCAGCTTGCTAAAACACAGATAGATTGCAAAGGTGAGGGTGCTGGTGAAAAATACTGCAAATATTTGGCATGTCCAGGACAGCCTAGTTGGTAGCCAGCTGAGGTTTTGTACAAAACTTGAGAAACACATGAAAACAGTCCCTGGATAATGCTATTTTGCCAGTTTTTCAGGTTTTTGTTAGACACATACAGACTGCCATGCTGGGAGGGGATTGTTTGATGACACCCACAGTGACACTGGGCAGAGCTGGAATGACTTTATACCACTGGTCCCAGCCTCATCTCCATTTTTTGTCCTTAAAGTTGGTTCTGCTTGAATTTCAGAAGGAACTTCTTTACAGTGAGGGTGACGGAGCCCTGGGACAGGCTGCCCAGGGAGGTTGTGGAGTCTCCTTCTCTGGAGACATTCAAAACCCACCTGGACGCCTTCCTGTGTGATCTCATTTAGGTTCCTGCTCTGGCAGGGGGATTGGACTGGATGATCTTTTGAGGTCCCTTCCAATCCCCAACATTCTGTGATTCTGTGTGATTCATTTATTTACTATTCATATGCTGACAAATTTCAAATGCGTGTCAGCACTTCTGATCTCCTCTGCTCTGCTCCAAGCCCTGGTTTCTCCACAATGATCAAGTCTGCCATCCTCTCTGAGCCACCAGCATCACCTCAAAATGAACTCCTCTGCAAGCTCCAGGAACCTACAGCACTTCCCTCAAAACACCATAAAACAGCATCACAGAACAAAGACACCAGTGTAAAAAGGGGAAAAATTATCCACTTTACAAAAAAAATATATTTTTTGTTGATCTTTTTTGTTGATCCTTAGATCACCATCCAAGAAAGCTGCCAGGGTAGTTGAGCTCTCTCCCAGGTCCCTGGCAGTCAGTACCCTACAGCCCTCAGGTCATCACTCTTGATCACCCAAAAATGCTCAA